AGACAGCCCTGGTGTAGCTTTGCGCGAAATTCAAAAAACAAACAAACAATTTCTTCTTTGCGCATTGTCCACGTCTCGCATTATGTTGCCACATTCAAGACATTTCTCTATTATTATGTTCTTCAGTTTCCTTTTCAAATTGGTTAGTTTAATAGTATCTTTGTCTTTCTGAAGGTTTCTTTGGCCATTTTAATTCTTGTTCTTATTTCTTTAAAACACCAACATCTCATGTGATAAGCCTACTTAAATAGCAAAACTGTTACTTCCTCCAGCGTTTTACCTTTGACATTAAAGTTTAGTTTCCAACTTATTTCCTTGATACCTTCATCACTTTAGTCTTTTTCATGTTTATTCCAATTGTAAAATGTTTTGCTGCTTCGTTTAGTTTCGTAACTAAAAGTCACAGCCGTTCTTCTGTATTAACCAACACCGCCTTATCATCTTCAACTCTGCAAGATCTCACTATTTGCCTTCCAATCAGTAAGATTTTTCCATTATTCTTATATTATTGCCTCTACGTAGACATTGAAAAATATTGGTGGTAATATTCATTCCTACCTTAAACCTCCTTCTTATTAGTACATAATCTAATTCACTTTCAGTTATTCTAACTGTTGCTGTCTGACCCACGTACAAAGTCGTTATCAACTATCTTTCCTGCTAACTCAAATCATTCCAAGTACAATTGAATAAGGTATTCCAATTTACTCTGTCAAATGCTTTCTCAAATTAATGAAACAGATAGACATGTTTTCGTTAAATTCCAAGCCCCTTTCACAGGTAGTTCTCTTTACTTCAATCGCTTCTATTTTTGCATATCCTTTCCGAAACCTAAATTGAGTCTTTATAATGTATGCTTCTGCTTTCTTAGACTGAACAAATTTTGTCATGATTTTTTTACACGTGTGCTAACTATATCAGGCTAACTTTTCTAAAATCTGACAGGTCATTTTCATTTGGTTTCTTTCGAAATGGTATCACTATTGATTTCTTAAAGTCTGATAGCCATTCGCCTCTCTCATACAGCTTGTTGCAGAGTGTGGTGGTCAAGTCATTTATTTTTCTAATAGTTTTTATTATTTTTGAAGGGATTCTGTTGATACCTTCTGTATTCATACCTTTGATTACAGTAACTATTTCACTTTTAATGATAGCATGAGTCTCGGATTCTTTGTCCACAATTTCCTCTTCTTCTGTTTCAAGTCTATGTGGATTTTGTTCCTAATCGTAGAGCTCTTCAATATACTCTATAAACTTTTTTTTGACTTTTCCTGCTTCCTCTACTTGTGTGATACTACTTACACCAGTTTGTCGTTTTCTTGTGATTTGTTTTACAATATTTTACAGTACGTCCAATCTTCCTTCTCTATTCCATTCCTCTAATTATCGACATTCTCTATCTTACCAAATTTCTATTGTTTTACCAATTTCTTTCTTAGTTCATTGTTCATTTTCCTGCATACCTTTTTCCTTCTCAGATGTTGACATTCTTCCGTCTCCTTCTCTAATCCTTTTTTCCCAGAACTTCTAGCTTCTAGCTGTCTTTCTTACGATGTATCTTAGGAGTATTCTATTCTTCACATCACTTGTTCACTCAAGTCTCACCACATAATGATCGACAACATAAAATAATTTTATGCTTAATTACACTTTCCCTGTGCGAACAAGTAACTGCTAAGTATATTGTTTCAACAGGAAACTGTCAAACAACTCCATCGGGTATGACAATAATCTCAAACGTACAGCAAATGTGATGTAGAAAAATTTTACGCACAACAATATTTTAAAGTATTGTCTCAATCGTGTTATAATAAGTAATGTACGAAGGTGTTACAAATGTATATTTTAAAACTTACCTTTCAGTAACACTTTCACGTCTGTGTTAACAGTAGATTATTTGACAAAATATATTACGTATATAGACTTGGTGAGTATAGTTTGATATCTTATAAAGGAATTCATTATCATTGTACAACGTCATTTCATATGAGAAACGTTAAAAATGCAGTAACTAGATCAAAAATAAACATACATTCTTTAAAATTTAAACAGTTTTGAAACAGGTGAAATAAAAAAAAAGCATTTTTCATAAAACCGCGTCGTTAACGTAAATTAACAACAACCATATATAAAGAATTATAACTATAAAATAATATTCTCTTTACTTTTCTGTTATATCCAGAACCATATATTCAATCCTTTCATGACCGAATGTCTCCTTGGCGAAGTCCACAAGTGCTGACTGAACATCAACGGCAATAATCTTGGTGACGTTTGGACAGTGTGATAAAAGTATGTTTTTAGTGACGTCGCCTGGGCCACATCCAAAGTCTAAGACAACATCCCAGTTAGACCCAGTCATTTTCGAGACGTAATGTGATAGTCTTGAATCTATACATTCTAAAACATTTCCTGGTCTATTCGAACAATACTGGGCTGGTTTTGTATTCATTCTATAAAAAAAATGGAAGTTTCGCTGTGTCAAAACTTCATATTAATAATATATAAATACTGTCCTTCAGTTTTTATGTAGCTTATATTAATAATGGTATATTTTTCAAAGTAAATTGCATGTTTCACTCTTTTTACTCACAGAACATGTAGATCATTTATAATAAAATAATCATGGTTAAAAAGTGGTAGAATGGATGTACGACAGTCTTAAACCCTCACAAACATATAATTGGCCTTGTCAAAAACAAAATCTATGTAAATCCATTTCAAAATTAGTTCCCACTCTGAAGCCCACTAGATTTTATTCTTCTTTATATTTAGCTCAAAGCTCCACAATGGATTATGTGCACTCTGTCCTCCACGTTGAAATCCACTCCCAGATTTTAGATTTTTTAAGTCAGGAAATTTGGCGCTGCCCTTCCTGGGTTTTGATGCTTTTTGAAGAACGTGATTACGACATATTTGATCTAACTTTATTATACGTAGAAATAAGCTAATTTTTACAAACAGTTTTACCATCTTATACCAGCTTAAAATTTGAATACCAACATTCACCAATTGTAACAGATCCATTAAGAGTTCATAGAAATGTTTTATGTATCTTAAATTGAAGTGTTTTTGATGTAGATATTGCTAGAAACTTGAATCGATTTCACATCTGTATGTCAGTAGTTTTTGTTTGTTTGTTTGTTTTGTTATATTTTGTGAAACCAAGATGTACAATGAGCAATTTTAGCGTTACAGGAATTCAAACTTACCCCTGAGCCACTGTAGTGGGCATTGTAACAAAGAAACCTGATTCTAGGTAAGTAAAAACAAATATTTTACCAGTCATTTGAAAACAATCTGTTTGCCCAGACTAGATATAGTTCCATACTAACTGAGGACAAATATAAAAAAAATAAAAAATACTCTCTGCTACGAAACAATAGCATAGTGTTCCTAAGCCTCGAGCGCCTGACCTTAGGAAAGGTTAAAATTAATTTAAAATAAAACAGTACCTGTAATTGGTGTATTAATGTTTTTAACGTCTAGAAGGTTTCACTTATGTTCGTATAACTTAACGTACCCAATATTTATAAAAGTAGATAAATAACGACAAATACAGACACAACAGCCTAACACTAACAGTAACATTTAAATTCCTCCTTCAACTTTCAAAATGAGTCCACAAAACTTGCATATTAGCTTTAACTGTCGGACTGCATACGATTGTCATATTTCCATTAGGAAACAAATAACCTGGACTTTTACAATAAACCTGAAACAAGCCCAACCTTCCCAATGCTTTATTTTTTGTCACGTGAACATTAAACTAATAATCATTTTGAACAATTAAACAGTTTATTCTTTAAAATAGTCAATAAAAAGGCACACTTTTTTATGACACAAAAGAAGTTACAAGTTACTATATTATAAAAATTACACAGGTAACCCTAAATTCATAGCATTATACTTCAGGGCACAAGCACTATATATAAGTGGTGCAATTGGAAATAAATTACTTGTAGAACCCAAAACGAGGGTTTAATGTCGAGTAGTATATATGTAAGTAGAATGTGTGCGTGCGTGTGTGTGTGTGTGAGGAGGGAGGGGGAGTATTCTATTGCCTTTCGGAGTACTGGGGTTTTGCAAAGACATTTCAGCCAGTTCATCTTGCCTTTCATATATTTTCTGGATCAGCTACTTGATGTCAAGTTTGTGTGATAGCTATAAGTAGATTAACGAGTCTTCAAACAGTAAATACCCTCCTTACCTCCCCCCCCTAACTCTAACAGAAAAATGAAAAGCTACTTTTAATGAAATTCACAAATTAAGTGGTAGTCATTGAACGTCTTCTTGCCTCGGTTACCACCCGATTAGTTTGAAAATATGGAGTGCTCAATCACTGATATAAAGTCAATCAACCTGTTGCGTAAGTCATAAAAACAGGATGGGATTTAAAGTGTAATCAGGATCATGCAGTTAGAATGTGTTTAGGCTTTGCGTCGGTAAATGGTATTGAATTTGTCATGCGCTTTAGCTATATTGTTTATTTTCATCATAATTGACAACAACAAGCCTGGATTATAATAAAAAGTAACAAAGCGAAATTATAAGCGACTGCGAAAATGGACAAGCTCAATTTGACGGTTGTAATGCGGAACTGACAACACTTACACGCTAAGCTTTGATACTATAACTATCCTAACCTCGTGTAACCTTAACTTAAATATTAAAGTTTGGATCATATGAAATTATCCTAACTAACTTATTTAAATCAAAGATTAACTACTACTTACTTTAAAGCTTTATTTTCTGAATCCTTACATTCACACTCAAGAAACACGACCGTGTCCAAGACCACGAGTTTCAATCTCTGCGCGACCTTTCGACCAGTTCATTAAATATAACTTCAGTTTTCTACCTTATTCGTTACAAAACGAGAACCCCAGCCAATCAAAAATCGTCTTTTTTAATGTTCTTTCGTATTAACTGATGTTGTAGTTTCATATCAACAAAAGTGTAATTATAAGTGTACTTCTTCAAACGTTTGAGTCGGTAGATACTTAAGTTTACATTCTAATCTACATACAGCTTTTTTCGTTAGATCCCACTAGCTGTTAAATATAAATTAATATCCATAGAAATTCTGAAGGGTTAACTGATGAGCAAGGAAAAAAAGTATACTGATTAATAAATTTTAATTAACATATTACCCTAATAAAACAACATATCTACCACATTATAATGCTTGTTTTTCTATTATTTGCATGGTTAGTAGGTTATATAAACATCTAAGTCTAGTTTTATTTAATGAAGTTTTTGGCTAGATGTCAATAAATTTATACACTTAGTTTCAGCTGTTTACATGAAGTAACTAATTATCTAGAACGATTTCTATTTATTCTATGTTAGATTGCCTGTGTGTGTTATTAGTTGTGTGAATCATATCGCAATATTTTGCAATTATTAATTTTATTATATCATCTCCGTTTCTAGCATATTCTCCCGGTGAGGCAAAAATATATTTATGGACTTATAACGCTAAAATATGGTATTTTATTCATTCAGTGAACATAGAAGGTAGTTCGATATAGCTTTGCTCTCAAAGAAACAAAATAATTCGCTAATTGATGGGCTACTGCAGTTAGGTCGGTATGAGAGTGTTTTTGTTTGTTTCGTCTTCATGTGCTTGAATTGTGTGTTTTTGTTTTTACACTGTATCAGAACCCACAATCACATGGGATGTTTTAATTGGTGTTTTCGTTCTACATGGTATCTTTAGCTGGTCTTGTATGTTCTAATTGCGATTGTATTGTGTTATGGTTTCTGAATACTGTTCTGACTTTATGTTGTTTACATATCCTGTCTGTGTTTTCAGATCGACCTTTTATATAAGGGAATGTGCTGTGTCTGTAAACGTATTCCTGCTTAACCTTGGTGTTTATCTTTGTCAAGTGTATCCAACTCGTTAATGGCCCTTTTTATAAATCGGCTGGTACACTACACATCGCACATTCTCAAGCTACCAGATCCCATGAGAATGATAAGTAGTCAAAGACATGTTGTAGGTACCTGGATGCAAAAACAATAGATGTTAGTTCATAGTTAAAATTTTTAATTTGCACTTGAAATAATGCATGAGCTATTACTGTCAACATTTATAGTATTGAGCAGACTTTTGTAAGCATGCATGTTTAACAACAACAAAATCGCGAATTAAAAATACCTGTAACATTTCAATATAAAATGTATTATCCTGTCTGAGAAATTGAAAACACTTGTGTCTGCTAGTTTCGTCAAAGTGGTTTTCTTTTGTGAAAATATTTTAAAAACCTGCATTTTTCCAAATATACGCTTGTTTGTTTGTTGTTGTTTTTAATACATAGAACTATACCAAGATCCAACAATTTTAGTGAAGAAAAGATGAGTTAGAAGCCTAATCAATTCTTTGATTTCCTACTAACTCTGTAACAGACTAGTTTCGCCGAATTCACGACTCATCAGTGATGCTTGAAAGAGCGAAGCAATATTTACCTTTCTATTGTCATTTCACTATAGTCTATAGGACTTCTGGGCCAGCAGAGGGTTACAACTGAAAAGAAAATGCTGATAATGTTTTGAACATTTGTCGAGCATCATTTCATACTCTTCATTTTTCAATTTGGAATCTATTTCAGTTCAATGAAAGGGAAACCTGTCCATCCATTATACATTGCCACTACATTCTGAAGTTTTACTTCATGGCCAAAGAGAGAATTTGAAATGAAGTGAGGTATGAGGGAAAAACACCTTCAAGCAGGATAAGTATACTGGGGCAGGTTTTTCAAAGAGCAAACAACTTGTCCTTGAACTCCCTCTGGAAGGAACATCTCATACTTCAGCAAGAATGACATTGTGAGTCAGGAAGTAGTATGTGATATATATACGATAACAAGCTTATTAAAATGATGAAGGATATTTGGAAATTTATTGCAATCATACAGTTCCAGGGTTGGATTGGGTAGCTTTATTCTGAAAATCACAAATATATCATTGCGTTCTAACACCATACGTCTTTCACAAAACCATGGTACGATGATAAATGTACGCCTTATAAGAATAGAGGACAAAAGATTGATTCAAACCATAAATGACTCCAGTTAGAAACAGAAGAAGGCTGAATCATTGTGACTGTTGGAAAGTGGGTCTTCTTTGTAAGATGGTTATCAAAGGTGGCACAAAAATACTTAACTGCGGTCAATATAAGTGTCATATATAACATGTGTGACATGTTATATACGAACATTAAAGAGATCAGGGTTTCGGTAGATGGTAGATATTTATTTTCGATTGGATCAAACAGAATAGCTATGTTATGATTGGTATTGAATGTAGGACACAAGTGACTGAACCAAATAAGGAAACGATTGATTGTTGTTTGTAAAACCCTGTTTAACGTGACCATGGACAAGCAGGTAGCCACTTTGGCAGTATCACCAGCTTACTTAAAATATTTTACTTGTGGCCAATAGGT